AGTTCAAAGAAAGAAAAAAGTTTTCATCTGGCCCCAGGCATCTCCAACACATCGCTACAGGGTGAATCAACGCAAAAGGGTTGAGCAGCTTCGAGAGCAGGCAGAGCTGGGACTGAATCAGCAGCAGGAAGAGTTTGAGGAATATTGTGGTCGGGGGCTAAGTCCGGCAGAACCTCGTCGGATGGAACTAGAATCACCGCATCGGGCAGGTTTTCCAAAACTTGCATCGGCGTTGGACTCGCACCCTCGGCAGCAATCTCAGCCTCGGTCTGCGCCATCTCTATCAATGGCACGTAACTGTGCATCTGGAAGAATGGGGAGTCTGAAAGGACACCGGCAACCCAGAGCGCCTCATCCCACCTCTTCTTGAAGAACTCCTTGTTGTTCTCCTCGAGGGCAAGCAGCACGTCGTCGACAAACTCCTCTTGGATTTGCTCCTCGGTCTTCCTATTCTCCGCCTCGGCCCTGATCCTGTCCAGCTCCTAGGTAAGATCCAGACAGTTCTCCTCTGACCCTACTGTCATCTCCTCTGTCGTAGAGAGCTGTTGTGTCTGCTGCGTGATCCTCCTCTCAGCTTCGGCCAAGGCAGCACTTAGCTTTTCAGTGACGACCTTCGCCGATTCGCCGTCCTTGAGAAGTTGCTCAATCTGAGCAACTTGTCCAGCGAGGGTGGAGTCCCTGGCAGCTACATCCTCTTTAGCGCTGGCCAGGGCTCCCTCGGCCTCTTCTTTCTGTTCTTGGATCCGCTGGAGGTCCATCCTAGCTGCATGATATCGCGCAGCGATTATGGAAATCTGTTGGGTGGCCTGCGAAGGAAAGAACTTGTCAATTAAAAATAACACGGCAAGAAAAGACTAAAACAAAGATTAACTTACCACCAGAGAATTCTGAATGATGGAACGGAACAATGTGTTCGTTGTCCGCCCTCTATGAGCCTCCATGTCGACCTCGAAATGGAGCATCTCGCTCACTGCGTTGGCAACATGGGGGTCCTACAGAATGGAATCATCGACCCTGATCACCCAATTTATATGATCAGTGGCTCGAGAATTCCACTCTGCGGAGGGGGAGTTAGAGTCTGCCTCTACTGCTGTTTTTGTTGTTGTCGCTGCTGCTGTTGTTGTTGCCTTTGTTGCGGCTGTTGTTGTTGGGGTGAAGGGGGTAACCCACGACTTCTCCCGCTTGGCTGTTGAGCGGAGGGGGCCCTGGATCCCCTGCCCGGGCCTTCGTGCCTTTCCTTAGTCCTATCTCCTCCTCGACTTGAGGATCTCGGTCCCGCTCTTGACCCCGACCAGTGGGCCTCAAAATCGAGGGGGTTGGCACTGGTACCTGTTGATGGGGCGCTACTGGTTAACCCTCGTCCTCTCTCGGCGGCAAGGGTCTGCCTCTACCTCACGAATCCCAGGTCGATGCGAGGCGTGTGCGACATGACTACCTCAAAGGCGTCCTCTGTGTCTAGGGACTGAAGGATGTGGAAGTGGGGCCACAAATCTCTCCCTGAAATCCCCACCTCGGCGTGCGAAGGAACCAAAGCCTCTCTGGCCCCGAACGCCTCAACTTCAAGGACACCCTCTACTTCTGCCTCGGTAGCCCTATCGGGGTCTTCCTCGAAATTCTCCTCAGCCTCTTATTGTGCAGCATGATCTAAGAGTTCAGACCACCACGAAGGCTAGAAAGGCTGGGGGAGCTGTGAGAACTTTTTATACCCAGGAGTGTAGTTCAGGAGGATATGAGCAGCCTTGTCGAACCCGTCGTCGCCAACAAATCTCCAAACAGTGACAAGGTCAGCAAAGTTCACCGAGGACCGAGGGGGAGGGGTAACTTCCCGGGCGGAGACGTCTGCACAAGAAAGAATGTTATTAACACTTCTAAAAAAATCCCAAGGACAAAAATAGTAGACTTAGAGAGGCCGACGTACTCGTCGTTCTCTATTCAAAAGGGCACACCCCGAGACGGTTGTTAAGCTCTAAGACCCCCCATTATTACCCTAAATATGTTAAGGCAACACTGCCCCAGGAAGAGTTTGAAATGGGCGAGAAACTGGAGGAGTAGAGGAGGCAGGGGGAACCTAATTCCACCCTCTATGATTACCTTGGTGAACAATGGTATCTCATTCTCGGTCCCGATAGTACGATTATGCAAAACTAGGTCGTACTCATCTATACCTACGTTTGGGGGAATGCGGTACCGAGCCCTAAACCTATTAATCTGCTCCTCTCCCTTTACTTTGTACTTCTCTGGCCTAGGGATCCTCGGTGTTAGGCCGACGTCGGGGCATCTCCAAAGAAGATAAAAACTAAAGAGAAAGGACAATTTTTTTTACGAAGATCCCCTAGGGGTTTTCTGGAGGTTGGTCACAGAATGACAACAAGAAACACCTCCGGTTATTGGAGAATCAACAAAAAAAAAAAAAAGAAAGAAGAAGAGAAGAGGAGACGGAAGGGCGGAGAGAAGGAAGATACAAGGACTCACCAGAACGTGAACGAAGGTTTTCTTGAAGACTTGGAGTGGTTCCTTCCTCCAAGAGGTTCAGAAGCAAGGATGAGTCTGCTGGCCTTAAGACTCTAGTGAAGATTGGTTTGTAGACAACATAAGGAAGTGGGTCTCCGGCGAGATTTCAGGCGAGGGCTCTCTCAATAGTTCAAAATGGAAAAGTGTGAGAGGGAGAGAGAGAACTCATTTATATAGTACACATCCCCATCATTAGGCACGAAGCACGAAGAGGCGCATTTAATGCGCACGACCTCCTAAGCGGGGAAAAGCGGCTAAAGGCAATGATGAAGTGGTTGGGGTAGTTGCAGTACCCTTCATCTCCTTACGACGCGTGTCCTCGGCGTCAGAAGATCCAAGGCTGGGGGCAGTTGATGGGACATTTTCCAGACACTCCAAGATAGCGACATGTGTACTCTGTGTCAAAGAAATACTCTTTGCTGTGATCACGACACGTGCTCATCGGATCATGATCCCTCTTCCCCCGAGGAGGGTACTATGCATAAGGGTCTACGACGCCGGTATGCACGGGGGCGACATGTATTCCTCGGTCGAATTTGGGGGGTACATCGGCCCCTAACCGTACTAGGCCCTCGGCACCGAGGTGTATCCATTACATCGGCGTTTTTGTTCCTGCAGGGTTATTGATAGACAAATCATCAGCTTGGGCTAGACTAGATTAGTCATCATGGCTTGGTCTTACCTAGATGGTGTCAAGAAGCATAGAAAAGCAAAAGACTCAACCAAAGGGGAGCTGGCATGTGGCATACTGTATCAGATCCGAGGTAAAAAGACCAGAATGCCCTTGCTGACACACGACTTGGGAAAACAAGTATTTAATGCACATTTTCCTTGATGAGACAGCATTTAATGCGTGAAGACCCAGAAGTGAAAGACAATGAATGTTGTTGTGACTGAGTATTTAATATATCTCTGTCGAGTGAAGGTCATTAAACACTCAACAGTCCGAGTGTGATACATTAGTTGATCAGGGTCCCGAGCAGTTAAGAAAGATGTCATTTCTCCTAAAAATTAGTGCGCACGTTACCCACCTCTAATGATCACCTACTGACCATACTGACAGCAATCATGAGTTTTTAAGGTATAAATACTCCTCACAAAACGCATGACGAGGTACGCAAAAATCTTTTTCTCAAACCTATACACAATGTTTTCTTCTTCCCCTCTCTCAAAGAACTGATTTGATCGTCGGAGGGAATACGCCGAAAAACACTCTGGCGCCCTCCTAACTCATTTTTGTTTGTTCCAGGAATCTCCCTTAGCCTTACAGGACCACCCCGGTGACCCACAAAAGTCACCCATTATTGTTCCAGGTTACCACCGGTCCTCACAGTCTGTTCCAAGCCGCAAGGTTGACCATTTGATTGATTGACTCGTATTCACCACGGGAGAGATCTGTCATCGTGTTTATATTTTGTAAGATCCTGCAAGCACAAGTCCCAACCGAAGTAGAAAAAAAATTAGTTGCAACGATCGATAGGGTTATGGTTTATACCAAAAAAAAAATTACAGGGAAGAAGAATGATGGATAGTCGATGCCGTCATTCCTAGCTCGCAATGACATTAAAAATGAAGAGGCGTTGAAGGGAAGAGCAAAAATAGCCGTTGAATTTTGATGTGGAGTTTGGGTCTCTTTAAATTTGGGGTCAAAAAATATTTTCTCTTGATTTGGTATAAGTTTGAGTTAAAAGTTTGAATAAATTTTTTTGAGTTGTTTTACCCAAATTAAATATGAAATAAAGTTCGAAGATGTGAGAAGTGTAAAAGAAAGATTTTAAATTACTTGCACACTAGTACCTCTCCCTAAAGTAGGAGATTGAATTCAAAGTGATATTTTATTATTATTGATGATATGATATTACTAATTAATAATAAATTTATAAGTAAGTAAGATGAATCCTACTTAAGCATATATGAAAAAAAAGTAAAAAATTATTTACTTAGGTGACTGATTAATTATTAATTTTTTATAAAATTTATTATTACATGATATCACCGTTGTATTTCTTCCGTTCTTAAATTTCTGTCGTTCCATACAATTTTTTTTGTTTAATAATATTTGTCGTTAAATGAAACCAAACATAATTAATATTTTTTCTTCCAAATTTACCCTTAATTTTTTAATGCATTAGATTAGGTAGATGCTAAATATCTTTCATATTTTTTTTTTCTCAATACGTATTGAATAAGAGTATTTTAGTCTTATATAATTATTTTTTATTTATATTAAAACTATTTAATAATTTTTTTGATTTCCGTGTAAAAATAAGTGACAAATATTTAAAAACGGAGTAATAAATATTTTGTCCAAAGCTGACTTCGACAGGGAAAGGTCGAACAATTGTACACGTCTATAACTCCGGTCTCCAGGACCAACAGATTGCTAAACGTGTCAAAAAGAGCCACCGACCTGGAAGTTGGAACAACCGTCCAGTTGGGTAGAGATTAGCGAAGAAGCTACTTGCTAAAAATGCTTGATTTGAATGCAAAATCCTACAAGTGGTTGGAGAATTTTGGACCTCAAAATTTATTCTGGTCAGCGTTCACACAACCCCTTCAAAATTTCCCATTTTCTCTGATACTTTTCTCTCTCTATTTCCCATCTCTGAATCTACGTACACCCCCCCCCCATTCACACAAGTGCATGAATCTTTGACCACACTCGTCAATCTCCAAAATTCTTGGGTACCCACCTACTCTTTTCTTGCTTTTTCTACCGTGGGTATCTCTTGATTTCTTGAATTCTTAACCTCCAAAATCATAGTTATTGGTAAATCTTCATTTAGGGATTTTTGTTCGAGTTTGTGGGTGCATGAAGATGGTGGGAGCTTTGTCTATGGTTGGATCATCCATGGTGGATTCGCATACTTGCCCATGTTTGTGCTTGGAAGCTTTGAATCACAAGGGTAGTGTGGATTATTTCATTTTCAATCGGAATTCGACGAACAAAAAGCTGTGGAGGCAACGAGGGTCGTTGGAGTTGAGCAGTTCTTTTGTTGATTCACGGCTTTCGGCGAAAACACTTTCCGGCAACAAGAATCCGAAGAAGCAGCGGAAGAGTAGGAGTCTTGTGATCGTCAATGAAGTGGCCGGGCAGTATGAAGACAGTTTCGAGGATGTTAAAACGGTAAGAAATTTCTAAAAACAAACTTCTGCGCATCATATAGGTTTCTTGTAGGATAAATTACAGTTTACATCTCTATGATTTGGGCACTAAACGCGAAATTCCCATATGATTTAGCATTGATGCTTCACCCCTTCAAGGTTTGGGACGCATTGATGGCTTTCATTTCATGATATATTTAATTTATGTAGAGAAAATAGAAAAATAGATGAGTTAGGCAAGAGAGAGAAAAAATGATGAGATAATGGGTATAAGGATATGGATGTTGTTTTTCCCCTATATCAAAAACTACAAGGGACTAACTGAGAACAAAATATTTGGGAGTATGATAAGGTGGTGACAGCGGTGGGTGGTTGAAAGTTGGGGCCCAAATGTTTAAGGACAAATTGTTCCATGATGAAAAGTTAAAAGATTTCTTTTATCCACTAGAATATTCAGCATTAAATGATGAGAAGATGACTATTAAACTTCACTGCCTGTTTAAAACTTGCATGTTTTACACTGATCCTGCTTATGGATAACAAGTGTATTGCAATGAATGTGAGACTCTGCATAAAGAATAACCAAATAGATTAGCTGTTATGGTCAATTATAAGATGCTTTTCTTTTGTTTCCCTTTTGAATATCGTTTTTCTCCCTATATTGTGTCCATGGTATAGAACTTCATATTTCGGTTTCAGTAATGCATAACACTTATCAAAAAAGAAGGCCAAGGCCAAAAATAAAGTCCAAATATAAATAAACACAGTAGGAGGAGAAGTATCATTATTGCAGTACTACATTGTCCCCCTTTTTGGTCAGATCAGCATTACTCTTTCAGTTTATATATAATTACTCAATAATCTGTCTACTGACATCATTTGTATATAAAATTCTTTCTGTTCATTGTTCAAGCTATTATATTTGCTTTGGTTGCAGCAAATGCTTAATTATTTCACATACAAAGCAGTGAGGACCGTCCTTAACCAGCTTTATGAGATGAACCCAACAAAGTATAGGTGGTTCTATGAGTAAGTGGATCATCATCTAAGCCATAAAATTTCCTACTTCTTTGTGATTACACTTTAGCAATCAATATTGATGGATTTACAATGGTATATCTGCTAATAACTTGGTTAATTTGTTTGTGACCCAGCAGGCTCAAATCAATTTTTAAGCATTTTGATCCGATAGAACAAATTCTATATTCATCAGTCTTATGTGCAGTAGAATATAACCGCAGTATACTCAATTGGTTTCACTATCAAGGATTGAAAACCCATAGATACTCTTAGAGTGCAACCTCAGTTCAGGTTGGCTTGGTCAGGCAATAACTCTAAGCTACATAATACTAAATCCAATTTGAATTTCTCGACCCTGAAACCAACCAACTTAGCTATGGCGTTCAAAATTTAGTTTTTTCTGTTTTTTTTTTTTTGGCACTAAGAAGTCATTTACTGGTTATATCTGATGGGAAAGGGTTTGAGGTGCGGCTTCCGGCGATGAGATTAAACATGAGTCATTTTATACTGTTATCCCTCCGGCTAATCCCAGATATCAGCCAATTTTTTTGTTTGGAATGAGAGAAGGTCAAATGATCTATAGCATCCCTCTAAAAAATATTTTATTCATTTAAGAGTGGTATGATGATTCACTTTGTTTCCTAATCTTGTGTGATTCCTCACTATGGCAGTTTTGTTGCAACAAACAAGCCCAGTGATGGGAAGCGTTTCATTCGCATGCTTGTAAAGGTAGTTTTCTAAACCTTGAGGATACTATATGTTTGCAAAAAATGTCAATTTAAAGTCAATGAAGAACAACCATCATAGATATCATCCCCCCCAAAAAAAATTAAAACTAGTACTAAAAGTGCTTTATCAGACCCTCTTCCCCCTGTACTATCATTAAAATGAAATGACTCCAACTTCAACTTGTTGTGCACAATTGACAGGAGAAGCAAGACCTTGCTGAAAGAGTGATGATAACACGTCTTCACCTCTATGGAAAGTGGATCAAGGTATTGAATCTAGTGTTTTGACGAATCATTTTCTGCAACATGTGATTGATGTACACACTGAAAATAAGTAAAAACAACTGGGTTTTGCTCATGTGTTGTTGTCATGATTTAGAAATGTGATCATGCTGCAATGTATAAAGAGATATCTGATCAGAACTTGGACTTGATGCGTGAACGGCTCATGGAGACAGTGATTTGGCCCTCAGATGACACAAACACGGAGAAAATTGGGTGAAAAGCTGCTGCCATGCCAGCAAAGCAACTACACCTTCTCTTGCTTTTTCTTACTTGTTTTCATTGTCCAGGTAGAACCCTATTTAGCTCCAATTTTCCACCAATTAATAAGGTTTGTCATATTAGATATAAACAATTTGTATATATAAAGATCATCCATCATGTCAGATTAGCTTGAAGAGAAAGATTTGAAGCTCAGAAATCCTGCTGAATATTTATTGTTCAAAATTCTATAATTTACATTTTCTCGGGGCCTGTCTCTTCGCAAACTCCCTCTCAAAAGTTAATGATTGTAATTTTAACAATTCAACCCCTCCCTCAATCTACAAGACAACTAATTTTCATAGGAGGTAATTTTTTTTTTTTTGTTAAATGTTTTGTGTGCGACTTAATGGGATGGATTAGAAGTATCAGTTTAAAAACGCTAGCTAGCTAGTTATAGAATGTGAAAACCTAGTTGCTCCGAGCAACACTGCCTAGGGCTTGTAATTGGTTTGTATTCCTTTCCTGTCGTTGTTTAAATTGCATGTTAAAAATACTCGGGCATCCAACACAACAGGCATGTCAACGTTACCAATTTGCAGTGCTTACCAGATTGAATTTCTTCAAAATCCAGTCTCAAACATAATTCCAATTTCCAAAAGTTGTAGCAAACATTTACCATGGTACAAGTTAACCACAATTTGGGCTGGATTTGTATATAACCACAATTTGCCTAGGACATCAGAATAATGGAAAATGAAGGAAGAAAGGCATGAGAGGAGCCCATATCCTCAGTTACTTATAATAAAATTATTCTGACTTTACTCCCCAGTCTGATATTATCGTGTGTGTGATTATTTATCATGCAACAGGTAAAAATCACATACTGTACCTGCTCTGTTGTTCCCCTTGAAGAGAAAACCCAAAAAGAAACGGTTCATTTAAACAAAAGGACAAATATTACAGGGCAAACAAAATTGGATTAGAAAAATTGGTCACAACAATGGAAGCTTTCTTATCTCCCGATGTCAGTTCAAGGAAAAAATTATTCTAAAGCGGCACCTTTCAAAGTCGTAGAAAGGCACGGGCACGGGTACAGGTACAAATTATATAACTTCGGAGTGAACGTTCAACAGAATTACTCAAAAACAAAAATATACTTGATAGCCAATGTTAAACAAAAATCCCTTTTTGGGCGTGGGCGTACAGTAGCCTTTAAAACTGAAATATTATATGAAGCAAGGTTTTATACATTTCGATATCATGAAATTGTAACACAAAATTGCATCCGGATGATGTAAAGATAGTTCTTGTTTCTATTGAAGCAGTACCCCAAGAAAAAACTCATTTGGACGGTTGTAACAATGCAGAAGTCAATGCCTCATCTGGTATGACCATAAAATATAAACCTTGGAAGGAGGCATACCGTATTTTTCTAAGCTGCCAATGGAGGGGAAAATTAAATCTTATACAAACATGGTGAAGCCCGTGCATCATCCTGCGTCAAAATCTCTTTTGATGGCTGCTATATTCCACCACTGACATAAATTATCACATGGAGCCATCATTAAAAGTCATAGATTGGAGTGCTGTTCTTGCACGAAGCTGCAACGAAAGAATCAGAAACAATTTACCAAAGAATTAAAACTAAAACTCAACAATCATCTGAGTTCTGACGGTTTATTACCTTTACATCTAGGCAGGGGTCATTCATCATATTCTTTAATTGAGAAACTACACCGGCATTCCGTAGTTTTATAACCCGACCGGAGGCACCAGGACAGCTGGGAAAGGAAAGATTTACCAAAGCCCAGCTAGCCGCTGTACGTAATCGGCTGTCATTACTCCGCAAAAACTTGACCATAACTGAATTACTGTTGTTGCCTGCTTGTGGAAAGAGTTGGTGCATAACCGCTTCCTTGTGAGACTCATTCCCAGATGCTACATTGCTAAGGATATACATTCCCTATATGAGAAGAATGGTCAAGATTTAATTTAAATGCAAAGCAACCACACTGACATGATAGGAGTCTGCAGCAGTCCTATTAAATCCATTATTTACTCTGGAATTCTTCTGAGGATCAGGGAAAGCTACCAGTTTATGAATGTTTGAATCTACACTTTGATATAATTTGTATTTCAGAATAGCATGTCTTATTAAGTATATCATGCCAATAGCCTGATGACCATTATTCAAAAACACATTAGCAACACTCCAATCCATCCTTTACAATCTAAAACAGTCAATTCCCTTAGTTTCACTTAAATTGGCACTGATAACAAAACACAGTAACACAGCTATGGAAAAGTTGAATTTGGTTAGTTCTTTGGGTTTTAAAGTACAACTAACTTGGCAACACAGACAAGAAAAAGGAAGAAGTATGACATAAAACACACACAGGAAGGTTGGAAAATCTTTTGCAGCAAGAAGCCAAAAGATAATCTATGAGTAACAAAGTTAAAAAACAACAAATTTCCTACAAAATCCAACCCTGATCTTCATTGGCAGAATTCAATCTTCCCGACTTCCAATGCTTGAATGGAATATCTTGAGAGACGGTCAAGAGAGACGCTTGAGAACTTTCATCTTTCAGCCTTATGTTTCCAATTCTTATCGATCTTAGCAGTGTACAATAGAAGAAAAAGGAACAAAAATTCTGTGGCAATGCCTTTACATTGCTCTGTGCTTATTCATGCTTGTGTTCCGACAGGAAGGATGAGTTTCAAAATCACACATGGGGCCACTTTAGGATTTCTACAAGATGATTCCTGCATGATGCTTGTAAAGTTTGGTGCAACAATAGAAATTTTTTGGCTTCCATAGTGTATAAGCTAGGTCCTTGGGAAAATAAAATCTAGAACACTTCCATGCGTGCCTATGTGTGTTTCCTCTTTTTGCAGCAAGTATATAAAGTTTCCAGGGAAATTTACTAAACTAAATAGAGCTCCATCACATTATTATCATTGAATCATCAAGTTCTTATATGACTTCAAATTCATATAAAAGTTAAAATGGACATCGTAAAATTGATTTAGTACAACAGGAGTTGGAGTTGACCTATATTTGCTTCTCTCACAGTGGACAAAAGTTAACCTTGTTAAGAATAGTAGGGTAGTATGTGTAAATTTTTAATAGTAAGAGAGTGGATGTGTAATTCTTATTATTGTAGGTTAACTATAAATACAAGTGATGTATGAGAGCTAGGTTAAGTTTTTAACCACTCTCTGTTTTCTCTCTAATATTGTGTTAATTCTCTAAACTTAACATAGTATCAGAGCTAGGTTTAATCATAAATATATTTCGAAAATAAATTAACTCGATTTGTTTTGGTGGTACTGTTGATCGTCGAAGCTACAGCGGTGATGGTAGTGATACAGTTGTTGTAGCTCTGTGTACTGTTTGCCGTTGTTGGTGGTGGTGTGGTATTGTGTTCGTCGTTCACTGTGTGTGGTGGTGTTGTCGGTGGTGGCCTGTTGTGGTGTTGTCGAAATTCATTGGTGGTCTGTGGTGGTGTTGTCAAAATTCGTTATGTTGTCGAATGTTGTCGTTGTTCACTGTGTTGTGATTGATTGTCGTCGTCTGTGGTGTGGCTATTGTGGTGGCTTGTTGTTCGTCGTTGGTGGTAGGTGCAGTTGCAACAGAGGGTTCTCTAGAACCCTAACCAACGAAGAAGACAAAGCCCAAACCCGACCCAGATCTGACCCAACCCTGGTTTGGTCTCAGTTCAGCCCCCTGTCTGTGGTTCAGACCGGTTTAGACAGTTTTGACTCGAGTTCAGTGCTCCAACAAGTAAAACCGGCGCAGTTCAATGCTCCAGCAAGCAAAACCGGCCCGGTTCAGTGCTCTAACGAGTCAAACCAGCCCGGTTCAGTAATTCAGCAAGCCAAACCGGCCTGGTTCAGTGATCCAGCTAGCTTTTCTACCTCGGTCCAGTAATTCAGTAGCCTTTTCTTCTCCGGTTCAGCGGTCCAGTACCCTTTTCTGCTCCAGTTCAGCGATTCAGTACCCTTTTCTGCTCCGGTTTAGCAGTCCAGTGGACTTAACTGATCCGGTTCAGCATTCCAGTGAGATTTTTCAGTCCAGTTTGGTGATCTAGCAACCTTTTCTTCTTCGGTTCAGCAGTGCAGCAAGTAATTCTTATCCGGTTCAGTGATCTAGTGATTTCTCTTTTCTATTGCTGCACTTATGAAACTCAAGCAAGACACGGAGTTAGTTACTATTACACAAGAGGAGTATGCTCAGTTCCTGTCCCAGCAACAGGTTGTCCTATCTCCCTACACTGCTACTTTTGCCCAATTAGGTAATGTTTCTACTTGTTTATTGTCCTCCAATCGCACTCCCTGCAGTCCCTGGATCATAGACTCTGGCGCTTCTGACCACATGACTGGTGTGTTTGATATTTTTTCTACTTATCAGTCTGCTACTTCTACACGTAGTGTTACTCTTGCTAATGGACTTGTTCTCAAGTTTCAGGTTTGGGGACTACTAATTTGAGTCCTGATATGTCCCTATCTTCCGTATTATTTGTTATTTAGTTTACTCTCCATTACCAAGATTACTTGTTCTCTCAATTGTTCTATAACTTTTTATTCTTCTTATTGTATCTTTCAGGATCTCAAGACGAAGAGGAAGATTGGTACGAGGCATGAAGCTGGTGGACTATATTACTTTGATTTTGATTCACCTACTCGGACTTTACAGACCTCGTTGTCTCCTTTTAAGTGGCATTGTCGTCTTGGACATCCATCTCTTCAAAATCTGAAGCACCAAGTTCCCAGTCTTAGTTGTATGTAGTCTTTGTCTTGTGAAGCTTGTCAACTTAGTAAACATCATCGTGTGTCATTTAAGTCTAGAGTCAATAATCGTGTGTCTAGTCCATTTGAGTTAGTACATTCTAATGTATGGGATCCAATAAAGAATATTTCATCTAATAAATATCCTTATTTTGTGTCGTTTGTGGATAACTATTCTCGTGTGACTTGATTATTTCTAATGAAAGCTCGGTCTGAATTATTCTCTATTTTTGAGACCTTTCGTAAGGAAATAAAAACTCCGTATGGTTGTCGTATCCGTATTTTACGTTCTAATAATGCTCGAAAATATGAATCTGATCCTTTTTCAGCTTATTTTAGTAAAATTGACATTATTCATCAGACTTCTTGTGCTTACACATCTCCACAGAACGGTGTTGCTGAACGCAAAAATCGTCATTTGCTGGAAGTCACCCATGCCCTGTTGTTTCAAATGAATATTCTCTAATATTTTTAGAGTGATGCTATTCTTACTGCTTGTCACCTTATTAATCGTATGTCATCCTCTGTGTTAAATGGACAAAGTCCATATTCTGTCCTTTTTCCTGGTAAATCCTTATTTTTTCTAGCTCCTAAGATTTTTGGATGTGTCTGTTATGTTCACAATTTAGGTCCTAGGTTTGATAAACTTGACCCTCGAGCTACCAAATGTGTATTTCTTGGTTATTCCCGCACACAGAAGGGGTACCGTTGCTACAGTCCTTCTCTGCGATAATACTTTATTAGTGTCGATTTCACGTTTGAAGAATCTGTTCCATATTTTTCAGCACTTTCTCAGCCTTTGGATATTCAGATATTTCACTGCCCACTGTGTTACCATCTACTTACCTCTCTGTGTCTACTCTCGCTATCCTCGCCCATGGACTGAGGTGTCTGTACCGTCTTTCTTGCCGCTTTCTGATCCTAGTACATCAGGTAATTTAGACTCTTTACCTATTACTATTCGTAAAGGTACTCGTTTGTGTGTTACTCATCACCCCATTTCTCATTTTGTTTCATATGATGCCTTGTCTCCTGTTTTACTTCCCAATTATCTGCTATATCTATTCCTAAGCATTTACAAGATGCATTATCTGATCCGAGTTAGAGGAAAGCTATGGAAGAGGAGATGGATGTTTTACATCATAATGGGACTTGGGATCTCGTTCCTTTACCCCCTGGTAAACGAACTGTTGGCTGTTATTGGGTGTATACTGTTAAATTTCGTCCAGATGGTTCTGTGGAGCGTCTCAAAACCCGACTTGTTGCAAAGGGCTTTACTCAGACTTATGGTGTTGATTATGAGGAGACTTTTTCTCCTGTTGCCAAAATTTCCTCTGTTCGTGTCTTGATTTCTTTGGCTGCTAATCTTGATTGGCCCTTGTTTCAGTTAGACATCAAGAATGTCTTCCTACATGGTGACTTGGTTGAAGAGGTATACATAGAGCAGCCACCTGGGTTTACTGCTTAGGGGAAGTATGGTAAGAATGTATGTCGGTTAAAGAAATCTTTGTATGGTTTGAAGCAGTCACCGAGGGCATGGTTTAGTAAATTTTCAGATACAATTTTAGAGTTTGGTCTCTTTGATGTCAGACAGATTATTCTGTGTTTCATAGACAGACAGATGCTGGATATGTCCTATTGGTGATCTATGTAGATGATATTGTGATTACTGGAAATAATTCTGAAGGGATTGCCAAGTTAAAAATATTCTTACAGGATCGATTTCATACCAAGGATTTGGAAAAACTCAGGCATTTCTTGGGTATTGAGGTGGCTCAATCTAAACAGGGTATTTGTTTATCCCAGAGAAAATATGTACTTGACATGCTTGAAGAAACAGGTTTGCTGGGTGGTAGACCAATTGATGTTCCTATGGATTTGAATCAGAAATTATTGATGGATGATGGTGCATTATTTGAGTATCCAGGTCAATATCGCAGATTGATTGAGAAGCTTAATTATCTCATTATTACTTGACCGGATATTTTCTATGCAGTCAGCATAGTAAGTCAGTTCATGGGATGTCCTAGAATACCACATTGGGAGGCAGTTATTCGTATTCTGCGATATCTCAAACGAGCTCCTGAACTTGGACTGTTATATCGAGCTAATGGACATCTTAAAGTGGAAGGTTTCTCAGATGCTGATTGGGCTGACTCTCCTTCTAATCGGAGATCAACCACTGGTTATTGTACTTTCTTAGGAGGTAATGTTGTCTCGTGGAAAAGTAAGAAGCAACCCGTGGTAGCAAGATCCAGTACTGAGGCTGAATATAGGGCAATAACACATACGACTAGTGAGTTGACTTAGCTACTACACTTTCTACAAGAAATTGGATTTCCAGTTCAACTTCCTTTACAGTTGTTCTGTGACAACCAGGCAGCTATCCATATCGCTGTCAATCCTGTATTTCACGAGAGAACCAAGCATATTAAGGTTGATTGTCACTTTATTCAAGACAAGATAGTAGCTGGGGAGATTACAACTTCATTTGTGAATTATAAAAATCAGTTTGCAAATATGTTTACCAAAGCATTGAGCCGTACACGTCTTACAGCTATTTGTTTCAAGCTTGGATTATATGATATATATAGTCCAGCTTGAGGGGGAGTTTTAAGAATAGTAGAGTAATGTGTAAATTGTTAATAGTTAGAGGGTGAATGTGTAATTCTTATTATTGTAGGTTAACTATACATACAAGTGATGTATGAGAGCTAGGTTAAGTTTTTAACCACTCTCTGTTTTCTCTCTAATATTGTGTTAATTCTCTAAACTTAACAAACCTTATACCATATTGTGATCTTAGAAGATATGCCCATTGCAAGTGACCTCACATGAGGTTTCTTACAAAATTCTAAGTTATCAGGCGGAGACAAGTATATTCAGCTACCACATTAATATGGCACTCACCCTATTCACAATAAAAAGTAGACTTCTCAACTTTTACTTCCACAGGTCTTCTAAATAGAAAAGAATTCTGACCTGAATCAAAACTTCAGCTTTTGAAGCACTCTGGAGTTGTCTTCCAATAGCATGGAGTAAAAGGCCATCCTCAGCAAGAACATACTCAACAGAGTCTAAGGGCCCATCAACAAGATTGCGGACAAAAGCAAGAGCTTGTTCTTGGACAAAAGCCTCAGGATCTGCAGTGTTTATTAGAGTAATGCAAGGTAAATGCAGAGTATCATGCTATAATGCGTGTTCATCGTAACACAGTACAATCATATACATGGCAATTACCGCAGATAAGGCTTGCTAATGTGGATGCTGTAAGCTCCGACAATATCCTTTCTTTACATCTATTGTCCACAAGGAAAATCAAGTTCCTCAAAGCCCAAACAGCGTGTACCTTAATAGTTGAATCCATAGAATTTGACCGCTGGACAAGGTGTTCTACACCTCCACATTTTATAAACATCGACTTATGTACTGTGAAATCGACCACTATGTTACTAATAGCACCGAGGGCAGCAACCTGTAAAGCACAAGATTGAAGGAAGATTTGTTACACAATCTTAACACCAACAGAATTTAGGAGCATGACTAAGGACATGTTACATCCAGAGTTTCTTTAAGCATGTTGGGCACTAGCCAGTTTTGATGAAGGACATCACACAAGAATAAACAATCTAACATGTTCTATGTAACTTTGTCTTAGATTTGGAAAGGCATTCACATAAACAGAAGTCAACCATAATGGTCAAACAATATCACGATGGTCCGATTGTAAATTTCTAGAAGAGGAGGAGGAGGAGTATGTGAAGGGTAGAGTGTCAGACAACACATCTAAACCTGAGATTACCTAGCGATACAAACAATTATAGAAAATAAGAAAATACTCCTAAACTAAATCTAAGACTGAACATTACAACGAACAACTCCATCAGGCAATGACATTATGGAAGAGGAAAAGTACTGATATTTCTGACACATTCCAGCCATTATGCAAGTAAATTCTGTGAGCTGCACCCAGATGTATTTCCTCATGACTGCTATTTCACATTAAAATGCTTTGCCATAACTAGTGTTATGAAAAGCGCGCCTAGGCGAGAAGCGAAGCGAGGTGAGGCGAGACTAGCTCGCCTGGAGGATCCCAGGCAAAGCGAACGTGAGCGAAGCGAGAAAAAAGCGAGAAAAAGCGAAAAAAGCGAAAAAGCGTTCTCTTTTGTTATAAGAGGCGAAATGTTTTATTTTTAATTTAGACCGTTGGATTGAGCGATTGCAAAAAAAATTATAAGATGTTGATGTACCGAATTATTCTCTTATCCTATAAATACAACCTCTAAACTAATTTTTTCTCAGATAGGCTTCGATTGGTGCTGCTACTCCACTGCTACACGATTGGACAAGGCTTCGATTTTTTCTCGATTGGTGCTGCTCCACTGCTACGCGATCGAACAAGGCTTCGATTTTTCACAAGCTGGTGCTGCTCCACTACTACAAGATCGCTGGACAAGGCTTCGATTTTTTCGCTGCTTCTACACCATTGCTACTGCTGGACAGAGATATCGCTGGTCTGGAGGGCTGGTCTGGACTGTGGAGGTTAGTCTCTTCTTCTTCTTCTTCTTCTCTCTTCTTCTCCTTCATCGGTTCTGCTTATGCTCCTTTTTTTCTTTTTTCTTTTTTCTTTTTTCTTTTTTCCTGCTCTGATTCTGCCCTATTCTGCTCTGTTTTTTTATTTATCTGCTGCTCCGATTGTGCTTCTTTTTTTTTTTTTTTTGTCATTATGCTTCTGTTTTTTTTTTTGCTTTTTCCTTATGTTACTGTCCAGACTCCAGTCCATATGAAGATCCCGCTGTCCAGTCCAGTCTATATGAAGATCCCATAAAAATCTAAGGAGTTAAAGCCAAATTTAAGCCTAGACCAAAAAAAAAAAATTGTGAATGAAATGGTCTGTTAAAACCAAATGTAAGCCTAGACAAATCCCGCTGTCCAGTCCAGTATGTTATTTGGCCATGCCATGAATGGGATTTCAGATTTCTTCATTGAATACCACTTATTGGCAACTACTCCTTTGATTGTAGTGTGATAATATTATTCATAAACAAATAAATGACATCATCGTCCGAAGGGAACAAAAAAGATCCGGCATGAAAATATGCACACTTGGTAAATCCTCAAAACACAAACAAATTCAAATGCAATTTTTGTGGAAAAGAGTCAAATGGAGGTGTCTATCGGGTCAAGCAACACCTAGCGGGAAACTCTACGAGTGTTATTACTTGTCCAAAATGCCCTGCTCATGTTAGGAAGGAGATTAGAGAATACATGGCTAAAAAAAAGGAAGAGAAGAATCTAATGAATATGGTTCCCGACTTTGATGAGATGTCTAATGACTTGGAGGAGGATGAAGATGATATTATAGAGATTGTTACGAATCGTAAAAGATCAATGGCTAGTTCTAGTCAAAGTTCTACACAAGTCACATCGACACCAAAAAAGCCGAGACAAAAAGGGCCTATGGATGTATACTTCACCCCTGATCCGAATGTTGTGGTTCAAAATCGAAAGACCAAGAGGAGACAAACGAATATTGATGTCAAGGATCCTTTTAGAAAGGAAATGAGAGAAAGAGCCATCACAACATTTGCCCGATGGATGTATGACACGGGAATTCCTTTTAATGTTGTGAACTATGAAAGTTTTGCAGCAATGGTTGAAGCTTTTGAACAATATGGTCCTGGTTTGAAACCCCCTTCTTACCATGAGGTTCAGGTCCCATTGCTCAACAAAGAAGTAGGGCATATAAAGTCATTGATGAAAGATCACCAAGAGGATTGGGCAAAATATGGATGTTCCATAATGGCCGATGGATGTACTGACAAGAGAGGGAGAACCTTGATTAATTTCTTAGTGAATTGTCCAAAAGGGACCATGTTCTTTGAATCTGTTGATGCTTCTGCATACTCAAAGGATGGGCAAAAAATATTTGAATTGCTTGATAATTTTGTGGAGCGTATTGGTGAAGCTAATGTGATTCAAATTTTCACTAATAGTGCGGCAACATATGTGTTAGCAGGTATTAGCTTCTTGAAAAAAAAAAGATAACTACTTGTTATATTGAATTTTTTTATGCACATTAGTTGATAAAAAAATCTTTATTTAATAGGTAAATTTTTTGAGGCAAAACGACCCAACCTATATTGGACGCTAACTCTGTTGAATATGATGAGACGATTTACCCAGTCAAGGGAGTTGATTAAGCCTGCAAAAACTAGATTTGCTACGGCTTTTCTTACTCTAACAAGGATCAACCAACAAAAAGGTAATTTGAGAAAAATGTTCACTTCAGAGGAATGGACTACAAGCAAATGGGCAAAAAATAACAAGGGAAAAGGACAGCACAAATTATTTTAATACCTTTATTTTAGAGTAATGTTGTCTACTCTCTTAAGCTTACTGGCCCTCTTGTTCGTGTGTTTCGATTGGTTGATGGTGAGAAAAAGCCTCCTATGGGGTACATTTATAAAGCTATGGACCGGGCTAAAGAAGCGATTGCTAATTCTTTTAATGGCAATGAAGAGAAGTACAAACACATCTTTAAAATCATTGACCGAAGGTGGAAAGTTCAATTGCATCGGCCTTTGCATAGAGCTGGGTATTTTTTGAACCCAGAGTTTTTCTATTCAAATCTAGAGGTTGAGAAAGATCAATAAGTCATGAATAGCCTATATAAATGTTTGAAAAANGCTGGGTATTTTTTGAACCCAGAGTTTTTCTATTCCAATCCAGAGGTTGAGAAAGATCAAGAAGTCATGAATGGCCTATATAAATGTTTGGAAAAGTTGGTCTCAAATCCTGCGATACAAGATAAAATTGGTCAAGAGTTGAGTATTTACATGAAAGGTGAAAACCTCTTTAAGTTGCCCATGGCGATTAGACAAAGAACAACGAGGGCACCAGATAATCTATGTTATCCCACAAGCTTATTTCATTATCATTGCTTAACTATGTTAGTTAATTAATTGTTATTCATTATTCACAGTTGATTGGTGGAGTGCATACGGGTCTACAACTCCAAATTTGCAAACCTTTGCAAAAAAAGTTTTAAGCCTTCCTTATAGTGCATCCGGTTGTGAGCGAAATTGGAGTGTGTTTGAGCATGTAAGTATCATCCTCAAACTTCTTCAATTACATTTTTTTTAATCTTATTATAAATTTTAATGTATTGTTAATAAATTATTGCAGATACACACCAACAAAAGAAATAGACTAGCTCAATCTCGTCTCAATGATTTGGTGTTTGTTAAGTATAATAGAGCTTTGAGAAGCCGATATGATTCCCGTGACACAATTGATCCAATATCTTTGAAGGATATTGATGATAGCAATGAATGGTTGATTGGGAGAATGGATGCAGACACAGATGAAGATAATGAGCTTATGTTTGGTGATGATACTTTGACTTGGGGTGAAGTTGCTCGAGCTTCTGGAGTTACGGAAAGTAGCCAACGGACTAGATCAACACCATCTACTAGGGTAACACCAAGGTTTACAAGATCGACGACTGGACTCTTAGATGAGGAAGACATAATTTCAAATGAGGCAGAGGAGGAGGATACTAAGGGATATGAATCTAAGGATAATGAAGAAGATGGTTTCTTTAGTGATGAGGATTGATTTCCAAGTCCTTGAGATATTTTCTTTAGTTGCTTGAATTGTGTGTCTTATGTTTTTAAATATTAGGATTTGAAATATTATTAGTGTTTGTATGAATTTAAATGTTTAAGCTATGACTGTTATTAAAATTTGCAATATTATTAGTGTTTGTTTTAATTTAAATGTTTATGGTTTTACTTGCATTTAAATATTTAGTATATATAAAATTAGAACTTTGATGTGTATAAGTAATTATACTAAAATATTTATTTATTTTTTTACCTGCTCGCTTCGCTTTGGTAAATCGTTTCGCTTCGCGCCTAGGCGTTAGGAGCCTTGGTCACTTCGGTTCGCTTAACGCCTTAAATAACAGTGGCCATAACCACCACCCCAATAGTAGTACGCTACAGGAATAGTGAAATCATGCATGTGCTGGGAAGACAGAATATTATTGCCATCAAACTCTTAAAGGTTAATAATCTGTGATCACTTCGTTGATGTGTCTTAAAATCTGTACATACCATCAATCGTTTCACCATCCTGGCATTCAGGAGAAAGTGCAAAACAAAAACTAATAGTCGACTGATCAGTATACTATCAATTGCTTTGCTTTTCAAGACTGACTCTATTCATATGGAATACTAGTTCATTTGAATGGCCCGAGACTAAGCTTGTGTAAGGTTTTACGGCTTCAGTGCATCAACTGAGATCACTGGCAGAAGCACATATATATTTAAGCAAGAACACATTGACCACAACATATCAAGAGATCAACACTGCGTTCAAGGACACACTTTCAGATACAGATACTGAATTAAGCAAATAACATACTTACATGATTGAGCACTAGTGAGAGCATCTCCAATTCTTTCTCATATCTTGACTCAAATTTAAATTTGAGTAAAAACATGTTAGAAATAAGCTTCAAGCCTTTACCCAAACTCATGACCAATGAGGGGAGACTCAAATTTTTACTCAACTCACTAATTGTCAAATATTATTTTCCTTTAAAGATCTAATTGTCATATTTTACCCTCTATTAAAGTTTATACATTAGAGTCCTTTGTATCAAATCAAGATTTTTACTCAAATGTTGACTCAAATTTGAGTAAAAAATTAAGTCAAAGTTGGAGATGCTCTAAAGTATTAATATAGGCGTCCTCATTTACTAATTATGTAGAAACGATTACCTCTATAACTGGTTGATGAGAAGGTCAATTTTCCATACTTGTTAGAAGATTCACCAGTGTGTAAAGGAATGTTTGTAAGAGAAACTTTTGTCATGTACTACTTCATAAATTGAAGATCAGCTGTTCAGACATGCAACATGCAGATGGTTATTCGTATCATAATCCCAGGAATGCTAAAGACTAGATTTGGGAAACCATCATGATATTAGCATGTAAGAATCCAATAGTTACTTGATTTGGTATGATATTTTACACGATTAGGATGTTATGCACCCATAGTTTAATCCTTTGCATCTCAATTTGTATATTCATTGTTCGATAACATTCTAGCAATTATGTACCGTGGATTGCTGGGGCAGAAGGGAAGACGGGGTATATTAGTCACTGAAATTGTTAATTTTGGAAAAAAAATGTTCCAACATTTCCTTTTAGGCGCATGGGTAATTCAGGCCATTAATTTGAAAGAAAAAAAAAATCAAACGGTTTCAAATCCAAAAACACGGGATTAAGTGCTGATTTCCAAAGAATGTGCAGGCAATCCAGATATAGACTAAACCATAGAGAGGCAATAGGTAATTTTCCCATAATCAGCCCCTAAAAACCCTCTTCATGTTGTTGCTCATACACAAGTTGCATCAAATCTTTAGGGGTGTGTTTTCATTATTGTCATACACAAAGTAAGCTCATTCAATTTGAAAGCTTTCAGTTTTTGTGAACATGAAAATATGGACAGGTAATTTATATGGTTTTTCTTTCAAGTTGATCAAATCCAATGCCCATATGCACAAAAGCGAAAGAATTACAAGTAATCTTGGAAGACATCTTGTTATTAACACATAATTGAGCCAGTTATCTAGGACTATCATCAGCAACGAAGATAAAAACATACCTGGACAGAAGCAGAAGTGTCATGCAAAAGCTGAACCAAGGCAGTGATGACAAATTCATTCACAAAACGGCCTGCACTCAAATACTGAATGATGTTTTTCTATTAGGAAAGATCCCACGAGTGGAATCAGATTCAAAATATCATATATGTGGTATTGATATTGCGAACCTTGACTGACCGAGAGAGACTTTTTATACAAATGCAAGCCGCAGCACGTACTTCAGCACTATCATGCGTTAGTGCATTACTTACGAAGTCCAAGGCCTGCATTCAGAAAAGCTTTACAAGTTAGTAATACATTTAGCATGTGTTTTTCAAATAGAAAACCTCACACATATTGACTAAGTTACTGAATTGGCCATGCATGCTAGTTAGACCTTTCCAAGGAGGAGTTTTTTTTAATGATGGACAAAGAGAAGCATTGCCTTGATGGGAGACAAAAAGGTGGGGCTAGCAAAACTAGTAAATGGAGTGCATCCAAAAAGTGTAGTTATTTACTCTTTAGTCAGGTACAAACTCTCTCTCTCTATCTCTCTCTACATATGTGTGCATGCATCTGACCCACCCACCCCACCCCACACCACACTACTTCCCTTACTCATACCCCATAATCCAAGACACTAAAAACGCATATAGTATACAACATCATTCTCACTCTGAAATAAGATGCTCTTCCCCCTCAAACGCCCCCAATCGTTCTCTCACCAAATTCACCACATTAAGCACAACGTGACTACCCACCATGCCATCCTCACCCTTCTTCCTCTTCTTCCCCCATCAATGTCCAAACAAAAGCCAATGAGACCCACAAGACTTGAGAAAAAGACAGTAAGAGACTCTCGCACCTCACTAGCAAGTCTGTAATGGAGTAACAAATAAACCTCCCCCAAGTCAAGGGCAGAGCCACTGCTAGGCCAAGGGGTCCTAGCCCACCCTGAATTTTTTTTTATTACCTAATTATATTAGATATATCTCCAGCTCATTCAAGTTGTGCCTAACCATGACCCACTCCATAAATGAAGGCTTATTATGCTCTTTTCTCTCCATCAGGTGACATGTTAGTCATGCTCACCGCACAACACAAAAACCAAGCCTGAGACAGAGAGCAACAAAACAAAGGAAATTCGGAGAAGACAAAGCAACAACGGACATAGAGTTTTGTGGCATAATCCCAATTTCTATATTACAATTCGTTCAGTTTTATGGTATAATTCCAATGTTTGATCAAATGGGTCTTTGATTTGTTCGCTTATTGATATGTTATGTTTAATTTTGGGGTCCTAATTGCCCATAATCGTTGTAATTAGCAACTGGGTTTTGATTTGTTTATGCCCCAAGTTGTGACTTTGGCATTATTTTTCTGTATGGATGCGTCTATAATTTCATTTGTATATTAAACAAAGTTTTGACTTGTGAATTGCCAGACTCTTGACTCATATTCCATAGGAATTTTGGGTTCTATTTTGTACTATTTTTTTTAGATCTTGTGAATTTTTTCATGTCTTGATGAATATATCTCATAAAAAACGTTGTTAGATGGGAAATTGTGCATAAAACAAACTTGTTATTTGCAATCCTTTGGCATCTGTAGCCTTTCATCTAATGTGTCAACTGAGGGTTCCAAACAACTGGTTTGAAGGTGAGAGGAGCTAAATATGTGTGTGTGTCTTTGTTTTTGGACAAATTTGCAACAAAAATTTAACTAAGTTTGACCACAAAACAAGTGAAGTTATGTGTTTTTGGCTTTGTTAAATTGTCAATTGGCTATATTGTAGTATATATGCCCATTTTTTTTATTCATTTTTGTGCCACTTTGCTATCTAAGTCTGGTTCATTGTAATTATATTGCTATATATGATACCTTATCATCATTACTTGTGCAGCAAGTAATAATCATTGGACGACAAATAGTTTGATTAATTATATAAAGAAAGACATTTTTTATGGCATTGATAATAAAGTTATAATAAAATGTTTTCAAAGTAAGAAAAACTTGTCGGGATCAATTGTAAATGGTCATGATTTAGCTCATTTTTTTGTAAAAGGTTATAATTAGCTTCTTCTTTTTTTCCCACAGACTATGTATACTAGCTTTTGGCCCTCTATGTGTAATGAATTTGTATATGATGTAAAAAACCCAAATATATCACATTATTTTTATCGATTAATAGAAATATAATAAATTGTAGTTAAAGTATGCCCTCACCAAGGAATAAATTCCAGGCTCCGCCACGGGCTCCCAATCCCCGCGCTCCACGTAGGGTATTCTTTCCATGCGTAACACCACTAGACCGCATCTTTCATTTTATTGTCTGAACATGCACAGATCTTTCTTTGCATCTCAACTTATTCCCATTCTTGACAGCCTCAAATGTGTTGTCAAAACATAAAGTATGGAATGATTGAGCCCTTTCACCTCCCTCATTTTCCCTCCCATCTAAAAAATTCGAGGAATACAAAATCTCCATAAAGGACACCACTGACTGCAACTCCCAAATCTTTATGAGAAGGAAAATACAACTTAGTTTACTATATAGCACTCTAATATTATGGCCACATATGCCGAATATAATGAGCTTTCATCAATGAGCCATGAGACATCTATATGTCTTGCAAACTAATTCGTGCTGCCACTGCTTCATGCATTCTTCAATAACAAGGACAAATAATGCATATCTCCAATTCCAAAAATAGGCGGTCAATCACCCAAAGATGTGTGATGACAACAACAATCTTCAGTGATCTGCTTGGGAGGAAGCTCGTTTTGTTTAACAGTTCCTCATAACATTGTTACAAATGTGGAATTGTGATGTGTTAAATTATCTTAAATTGCGATACAAATGTTGACTGAACTGAATTTTTTTTTTCTTTTCATGGTGACAGAATATTCGGTATTCAAGGCTTAAATAGTCGCTTCATCAATATCTTTCCATAAAACTGAATAAATGGAAACGGTAGCAAAATCACAGAAATACTTGATTTCAATTGATACATAAATACTGAAGAGCTACTATGAAATCGTATATTAATGTTGCCAAACTTTCCATAAAACTGAATAAATGGAAATGGTAGCGAAATCACAGAAATACTTGGTTTCAATTGATACATAAATAATGAAGAGCTACTATGAAATCATATATTAAGGTTGCCAAACTTCCATATAGAGGAACCAACACAGAAAGAATTCAACAAATATCTGACATGGCCAATAACTCTAATAAAGGAGGAAAAACAACAAGTAGAAACGGCAACCTTAAGAATCAATAGATATTTTCTACAATAACGCAAAAAAATGAAGCATTTCAGATTATTCCAACTAAAATGAACATTTTTTGGACTCCTCTATTATTCATTCAACTCTGTAATGGTAAAAATGAAGGCATCTTAACTTTTTGGATATCCCATCAATTGAACCAACTTATTGGGGCTTGCATCTCCCACCTATTGGATAGAAACATCATTCAGGTAGCACAGTGCTACAAGGGACCTGAAAAATGAAAGCATTTTACATAAGTAGCTCACCTATAGGTTTCTTTGCTACCTACAACTAATTGAGTGGAGGAAATGATGTATCAGTTTTTGTCATTGTCAACCTTAAGATCCTCGTACACCTTTTCTCGTTAATCTAAATGATTTAGTACCGCTAAAAGAGTATTGAAACCTATCAAGGCATGAATAAACAAAACTTGTTAAAAAAATTCAGCCAGACCCCCTCAACCTATGGTGCAGCCATAAGACTGGGCAGTTTGACAAAGTCAGGAATCAAGGCCCCTGGTCCCGCTGATCCACAAAAGCGATTAAATGGGAAGAGCATGCGTGCAAAAGGTGAAAGGCGCAAAAAAGACATCAAAAAGATTATTTCTGAAAGAAAACTGATGGAGAATAACACTTATCTATATCTCCAACTTAATGCATTTAAGGAAATAACAAACCTTGATCGACATAAGCCTTGACCTGCAGCATTCCAATCTTGAGCAGAGATCAGCCAATGCCAGCAATATTCCTTGAAAACGTTTGGCCGGCGATGAGCCTTTCTGCAAGTGGTTGCATAGTTTATCAACGACATTTGCCTCAAAGGCTAACTTTTGCAAATCCTCCTTGTCTGCAACTAAACTAGATAAAACAAAGGCGGCTTCATCTCCAACTTGACCAGGATCATCAAGAAGTTCAAGTAATATCAATATCAACTTGTTTTTGATTCCTACATCTTGAAGATGAGAAGTACAGGCATTTCTTATAACAATCAAGCACATGCAGGCCAGCAATCTGGTTCGAGGATACCTATCCTTTGCTAATTCTGTTACAACACTCAATGGTCTTCCACTTTCACATCCCACAAACTTTGAAACAACTTCCGGATTGTCCTTGAAAATAGTGGCTAGAGACTCTAAACTAGCATCCCTCTGACTTAGAGAACCTTCAAGAAGAATAATGATCTTCTTTAAGACTCCAGCGTCACTCAATGCCTTCTGTTCTATGCTTGTATGGCAAGAATGCATAATGATACTTGCACCAAGTCCAGTAACATTCTCATTCTCACTATTCAGCAGTGAAAGAAGAAATTCCATGTTTCTGTCCTGAAGAAAATCATACTTTGTTGCCAATTGTGATTGATAAATCATTCTAAGAGAACGAGCACCAGCATCCACAACCTGCAGAAGGGACAAAACCATCCAAATGACATTCAGAAACATAAACAGATAAAATACTTCCAAAAGGACTAGCACATATGGGGAATGAGGATAAGTTCTTTTACAGATCCAAAGAAGACTGAAAACAAAATTTTCTGCATTGAGCAATTATGATATATTAATTTAGACTTAAAAAAATACGAAAACGTCAACTATTGTTAAAGCATCCAACTTGTAACTAATTGGCAACGAGCGGAGAAGCCTCCAACCTCATATACCAGTTTGGAGGAGCTATTTTACTGATGTAGACACTCCACTGCATGGGTGACCCCCACTCCCACCCACACTTGAAGAGATAAATAAGAAAGACAAATTCAAAGACATAACCAGTACACCTATGGGCACAAACAAAGGGGAATCAACTATCAAATCAATTAAATAGAGTCTTGCCTAAACCCGCCTCAAACTTAGCACTAAAACCATGCTAAAGGATCCAACTCCAAGTCAATTGGCAATGAGTGAGAGATGCACAAAAGTCTTAGTTTGTGAGGTGTTAATTAATTGGTACAGGAGAAGCTCTAACAAATATAGCCACCATGCTTTGGTTGAGCTGAGCTGCATTGAAAGTTGATTAATGACAAACTAATTGGTTGGTCTTTGGAGCATGTACAGCCTTGATGAAAAGTTCCAACACAAAAAAAAAAATCCACAATTCTTGGCATGAAAGCAAATTATAACATATTACTCTAAAAGTTCACTTGAAAAACACAATAAGGTGACCTAGTGTACGATTCTCTCAATACTGTAGGATCTGGGGAGGATTATATGTATGCATCTTTACCCCGTCTGTAGAGAGGGTGCTTTTGTGACTTAAACCCTTAATACCCAAATCACAATAGAGCAATCTTACCACTGCGCCGATGCCCTCTCTCATTTGAAAATGTACAATATTTTAGATAAATTAAAACCAACTTTGCTCAACAGGGAGATAGTTATAGTCACACATGCATCGCATCCACTCGAAAGCATGTGAAGTAACATTTTCCATAAAGTCAACTCAGTGTAGACTAAACACACTTCTTGTGGCAGAATTCTGTCAAAATATGGCAATTTGGAAACAAAACAACCAAAGTACAGCACTTGTGAACTTACTTATGAAACTATGACACTTTTTAAAAGCAGAATCGTTGCGGGAGAGTTGGCCCCACTTTTAAATCAAAGCATTGTATTTTTCAACAATCATGCTTTTAAATCAATATTTTTTACAGACCATGTTTTTATTAAAATGTGGAGTTGTTGACCCCACTTTTTTAAAAAATGTTGTACTTTGATAAATAAGTTTAAACGTACTGTAGTTTGATAATTTTACCGGTGGTACTTAATTTTATCGTATTCTGGTACATAATTGGCAAAACAATGGAAAAAGTAAACCTCAAACTCCAAAGCTAATTAAAGGAATAAACAATTATTCATCACGACAGAAATCACATAACCAATTATGTCAAAGGCAATCTCTCGAAGATGTTTATGTTGATTTTTAAAAGGGAACTAAGTGGTTTCTCATAGGCTAATAGTAAACAAGAACAGATGACATTCTAGGCATCTATTCTTCACCATCATTCTGCCAATGCCATTTGTTGTCAGCTGCTCCTCCAAGTAGCGTATATCAGTGCATATCTGTAGTGATGTTTGGTGTTGGTGCTTGTAAGCCTATAGATCCCAGAATAGTGACCTGATAAATCACTTTTCACGTCCATCGAACAAAGGACCAACATATATTCTATGTTATGGACAACTTGGCAGATGGTGCAGCCAGCTGCTAGACATGCAGTTAATTTCAGACTATGTTTGGCCTGATCCTATCTTCTATAACAATGTAGCAGCCCTCAGAGGCCTCCGTCTCCTGATTCAAAACCTAATAATGACAAGCTTTCCTTTAGTGACAGTTTTTCGCAGGAGTTTTGGTCCCAAGTAGAATTCAATGATGCTTTCAAATTGTTTTCCAAACCAACCTCTCCCACACACCACACTGTATACTGTGAGTGTTCATACATAACAATGTGGAAATACACTCAATGTTTCATTTAGTAAGACAATTATCATCCTACTTCTTCACTTAGGTTCAAGCTTTTTCTTGCAATATATAGTTACATTTCTTGTACATCTATGGTCCTTATTTATCAAGTAATTAAAAAAAATAGTAGAAAGCTAAATATAATTCAACATTATTAAATGCTTCCAGATCTCCATTATCATATTATCTACACCTGTAAGAGCTAGTTAGTAACTCCAATGTCCCCCTTAATGTGCTTATTTCTGCTTTGAATGTTCTTTGGCACATACACATTTTATTATGCTCAATTCTATTACTTGAACACATGGTTTTTTGACACATCATTACCGAATGAGGGATTCATATGACAATGAAGAACACAAAATTCACCCTATCTACAATCACGTGAAGACAAGACAATCCAACACATTCTAAAATCATACTCAAACCGCTGAAAATTACAAACTAATCCATGCAACATTTTCATTATACCGCCAGTAACTATAAGCTCCAATAAGCCACTTAATGCATTCAAAGTCCTAAACTTTCCAGAATGCATTCCACCTTTGCTTCCCAGTAAATCTCGTAACTTTAATTCAATCAAATTAGGCACTACATATATTTTATATCTCCTTTCTCACAAATTAACCCTTAGTTCTATGTTTCTTCGCGTAGGACAACCGAAGAAACATCATTGAAAGATTTTTTCCTAACACAGCTCCCAAATTTATCCCTTTTTTTTCCAAAAATTTTACAGAAACATCATTGAAAACTAGCATATTTATTGCAATTACCTTCTCGTTGGGATGAGAAATGAGGCTCAACAAATGAGGAAAAGCTCCAGAATCAAGAACCGCCTTGACACCGGCATCAAATCCACACGCGAAGCTCCCAATCGTGGCGGCGGACTGAATCAGAAGCGAAACGACGTCGTCCTCCGCATTTCCAACCTGTTGACCTAACAGAGCTTCGGACAGAATTGAGACGACGGAGGGGACAGCGCCGAGCTTCATGTAAGAAAGTTTTTTGGTGCGATTGCCAATGATCTGGTTCTTGAGCTCCCTTAATGCCTTGAGCTTGGTCTCGTGGGCGGTGGAGGAGCTCAGCCGTTGGATCAGGTCCTCCGGGTGGTGGTGGTGGTGGTGGTGGTGGTGGTGGTGAGTCGACGACGCTGACGAGGCTGAGGCAGGCATGGTCGCCGGAGTATTGTAAATGGCATGTGCAACTTAGTGTGTGAGAGAGAGGGGATGAAATGATTTTGGGTTTACTCTGTTTTTTCGGATGAGAGAGAGAGAGAGAGTTTGGGGATTTATTTACTAGCGAGTAAAAATAACTCGATCGCTTATGACGATGACACTACTGTCTACTAATAGAGCGTCAACACGCTACCTAAATTCTTCGCTTAGTTATTTTTAGATAATTTTTCTTTAAAATGTGACTTCAATATATTAATTATTTTAAAATGTGACTTCAATATATTAATTATTTGTCTATTTCTCATTGTTTGTTTTTCACTCGATACATCTAATTAGCCTACATTTCTCTCGCGCTAGACTCCGCCTCTCTCTACCTCCCTATGCCTTTCCATAGATTGATCACAAAACTCCATCAATCTCTGCATCACTCTGTCTCAAAACTCTTTCGATTGTGATTATCGCTTTTCTCTGTCATTAATTTGCTCAGACCATTGCCTCTCTTAGATTTGCTGTTTCAAAGCTTCAAATTTGTTCAAACCATCGATTTGATGTTTTCAGGTACATATGTTGCCTCTCTCTACCTCTCGTTATATGCGTGTATATAATGGATTTGGTATTCTTTGGGTTTCCTACCCTTTTTTTGCAAAACTTCTGCCTCAGCTTGTTTTAACTATTTTTTGATTCAATGTCTTTGCTTGAAGTGATCACAAAGGCTTCGCCCAATCCCAATCCAACCACCGTCGAATCACCTTACTCAATCATTCTCAACGTATACCCAATTTTCCTAAACTTAAAGGCACTATCCGATTCCTCAAACGACCCCTCACTCCCAAAACAATCCCTACCTGATTCATCGAGATTTTCAATTCAAATTTAGTTACGAAATTTGATTTGTGCAGTTTTGCAACTCCAATTTTGAAATCATGGATAGTTTGAATAATTGTTTGTATTGATATGGGACATATATTTGTATATTGATCGTTTGTGTATATCTTGAATTCACTTCATGCCTTTGTTAATTTTTCTTGATTAGTATAATTGGAAGTATTGATTTTTTGCTGGATGATCATGGGATTTGGTTTGAATTGAATTAATAAAAATCAATAAAAATTTGATTGTGGCGTTATTAATAAATATGATCATTATAAATATGACCGTTATTAATAAAAATCAAAATTTTAAAAATTTTATGACGTGACGTAACACGTCAGCATGTGATATCATCAATATGGTGATGACATGACATACTACATAGTATTTTAGATTTTATTATTGAAAATTAGTTAAAGTTAGTTAAAGTGGTTGACTAAAATAGATAGCATTGTTGAAGTGAATTTAAAAAAGTGATTAGTTAAAGTAAATAACACAATATTTAATATATTTTAAGTAAATATTTTAGATAGCATTGTTGGAGATACTCTTATTGATTAAAAATTAATTATATAATATTTATATTTTTAATAATAATTTTTTTTCCGTCAATTATTGGTTATAATATGAATAGTCTTCCCTCTCATTTTATAATTTCCTTGAACCAATATAATCACCCTTTATTCTCCTCCACGAGCTAACCATCTTCTATTTAAATTCCTTTAAAAAAAATTCCTTTTATCACCCTATATATTTTTGTAATTATATGTCTAATTTCTCAGTGATGAGATGACCAAAAAAAAATTAGAAAGAAAGGTGAAAATAGAGAAAACGATCAAATGGACAAGAAGGGTGCTTAATGGGTAGTTTTTATATTATCAACAAATTATAGGCAAGAATAAGAATTTTGTGCATCCATGGGATTCATGTGTTTTTTTTTTTTGTCATTATAGATGAGTGTTTCTCTTACAAATGAAAATATTTTCTTCTTACTTCTGATGATTAGATTCAAGTAATATTACTTGATTTAAAAAGTTAGAAAAAAATTGCTAATATATTAATAATCGATTCATATATTAATATTCCAAACAAAAATATGCAAAATATAATGTATTGAATTTGAAGTATCCATTAAAAAAATTACTATTTCATTTTTGTTGTAAAATTAAAAAATATAGATAATAGAATTGTAAGGGACAAGATAATATAAAAATGCAAAGAATTGATCTTCTTAGCTTACGTATTTCTCAATGTGATCAAGGCTTTTTTTTTTGAGTCTTCAAACATAAGAATTATCAAAAACAATATTAAAGTTAGTATCAATGAGTAGAACTTATAGACCAATGCACTAATATTTACTAATTTTTATTTACTTGGTTTAGTAATTGTAAGGTTAGGGGCAAAGACGATACTAAACAGGGGCCTAGTGGGGCAACCCCTCATCTTTTGAAAAAGACCTTTTAACCCTTTAAATTTATATACTTTCTATTAGATTTTCAAAAAACATGTAAATTTGCACAAGACACATTGAATAAATGGGTGAAAATTCTCAATACAAACACGATCTGTTTAATTAACGGGTAACATGATACGATTCGTTTAACCCGTTTAGTTTTAAACGAGTCGTATTAGGTAAAGTCCGGTTAACATGGTAAATCACCCATTAAACCTGCTTACTTGTTGTTTAAAAATATTATATAATTTTATAAAACAAACACAAAAAAACTGTGATATCTAAAGATACCACACCATATTACAAAGTACAAACTATAATCCAAAACAATCAAATTCCACCAATAACATCTATGGGAAGAACATGGCAATCAGAGAACTTCAGGGTACCTATTCACATTCAAGGTATGTTGAAGAGTAAAATTTTATGTATATTTCTACTTATTTTGATTGTGAGACTCCGTTAAAATCTTATAGCTAAGACTCCTAAAAGGTCATAGTGAAAGACTGTGATTTTATTCTCTTTTCCTTTTAGTTCTTCTCTTTTATTTACTATAAAAAAAAATTTACATGAAAAGTTTTTCCTCTTTGCTATTTACAAAATCTTTTAAAATAATTATTAATTTACTATTATAGTAATTTTATTTAAATGGATAAATAGGTGATAAACGGATTGACAAGTCTCACCCGAACACGACCTATTTATTAAACATGTATGACAGATCAACCCGTTTATTACCCGAACCCGTTAAGGTTTCACAAAAATTCGCTTAACTTGTGTCGATTAATCGTGACATATCATATTTTAACAGGCCTACACATAGATGAATGTTCATCTTACAAATGAAAATACTTTGTTCTGATGAGTTTGATGGTCAACCAAAAAAAAAAAGTAAATAAGTGTAAAAATGAGTTAAAAATGTGGCCTATTTCTAAAAGTGGTGTTAAATTGACTAAAAAAAAAAAGAGGACAAAATTCAGTAACAAAATAAAGTTGTGCTAATATGACAGTAATAAAAAAGTAAAATTTGGAAGACAAAAGTTAAATTGAAGTTTAAAATTTCAAATTTTTAAAATTTAAAACGGGCTACAAAATTTTGTTCCAAATTTTATGATGACAAGTATAAAACCATTTTTTATTTTATTTTATGAGTCAAACTAATTTTTTTTCAAAAATATTGTACATACAATGATCTTGATATATTCTCTACATTGTAAGTTTGTCCATAATGATAACTTGTTAAATATAATATTTGAATAAAATTATTAATTATGATAATTGATGGGTCAAGTCCAAATGACCCAATCTATGTGGAAAGTCCAAATCCCAATTGAGGAACCCAATCTCATTAAAGATCCACTAAGCCCAACATAGTCCATGACCAGTCAGACACTCTGCTTTGCCACGTCATCAAGAGGGAGAGCATGGGGGCCTTACCTATACCGCAGAAGGAAACGGTCCACCCTCACCTTATATTTGATCGCATCTCATGAAGAGCTCCTCAACTACCTCACCCGTTGAGAAGAAGTCATGAGCTCCACCGAAATAGTTGCTTAGTTGCTGAAAAATAGCTGCAACCTGTTAGAGAACTACTATAAATTGCACGCCCCACCAACACTTGGGGGGTATCACTTTTTACCTGAGCATGACTCTCTCCTCTCCCTCAAAACTTGTATTCTCTGCTCCCCACACTCTTGAGTTAATAAAGTACCCGGTGACCAGAGTCATTCAAGAGTGGACGTAGGTCAAGTTAACCAAACCACTATAAATTGTTTGTGTCTCTCCATCTCCTTACTTTAATTACTGCATTTATTATTCACACTTGATAGGTGGTGTACAAAGCCATTTTGTGCATCATTAGTTTGGCGCCGTCTGTGGGAATGACAAAATTCTCACTCTTAAAATATTCCATTTATTGAACCAATGACGATCACTACCAGATCCATGAACCAACACGAAGACAATCCACTACGAGAGGAGGAGGTTGCTCCTCCACCTACCAATCCTGTCCCAAATGCTTCAGCTCCAAATCTACAGCAAATGCTGGAGACCATGCAGCAGTTGGTGGCCCAAAACCCGCAGATACTGCAAATCATGCTCATTGGACGAGGAGGAACACAACTTGGAGGTGCACAGCATGGAGGACCCCAAGGAGCTCCACGCCATGGACATCAAGGAGCTCCACACGCCTGCTGCACCACACCTAGGTGCCCCTACAGGGTTGGGCGCCCCACACAAGGGAGCCCCTCATGAGGGAGTTCCACCTCCTCCTCCTGCTTCCCACGATGAGGACCCTCATCTTCAGGAGGATGAGAGCGAGAATCAAAGCATGGAGCACGAAAGTCATTTCCATGATCACTCCAAGGGACCCTCCAACCATTGGGACGAGAAGATCAAGGAAGTGCAAAATCAATTGAGTGACGTCTTCAATGCCATGAAGGCGCAGGGACCCGAGACAGTAGACTACTTGGTAAGGCATATAGACACGCCCTTCAAGCCTGACGTGGCGAACTATCCCCTCCCTCAAAAGTTTAAAATGTCATCCGTGGAGACCTTTGACGGAACAAAAGATCCACTAGACCACCTCGACACCTACAAGACTCTGATGCAGCTACACAACGTCCCAGACGAAATCATGTGCAGGGCATTCCCAACCACTTTAAAGGGGTTCGCACGACAATGGTTCGCTAAGCTCCCCCCAGCCTCCATTGCCTCATTTGCTGAGCTAAGCAGGTCATTCGTATAGCATTTCATTGGGGGGTGCCGCCACCATAAGCTTGTCATCCATCTGCTTAGTATAAAGCAGGACTGGGAGGAGAGCCTAAAGAGCTACCTCATTCGTTTTAACGATGAGGTACTCCAAGTTGATGAGCCCGATGACAAAGTGACGATGACCGCCTTCTTGGGAGGTCTCCGCTCGTCAAGCTTTCTCTTCTCAGTGATGAAGCGTCCACCAAAGAGCATGCCAGAACTACTAGCAAAGACCCATAAATACATGAATACTAAGAACATCACAAGGACCAGGCAGGCGAAGTGAGTCCTCCAGAGCAGCAGGGGGAAAGAGGAAGGAAAGGGAGAGAGAAGACAAGAAGGAGACTAGCAACAAATGCGGTAGAACAGAGAGGGTTCCTGTCAAAGACCGGCTAGGTCCTGCTCCTCAGAAGGACCGACAAGCCTTCACTCCCCTCAATGCCGCTGTTAGGCACATCCTATTCTAAATCCAGGATGACCCCGCCATAAAGTGGCAAGGGAAGATGAAGTCTCCTCCAAATCCTAGAAATCCTAACAAGTACTGTCGTTTTCACCGTGACCATGGGCATGACACCGACAATTGTTATGACCTCAAAAGACAAATTGAGGAACTCATCCACCGTGGTCACCTACGCCAGTATGTTGCTAATAGAGAACGAGCACCACTAACTCATAATCAAGAAGACCAATAGTCCATGAGGGAAATCCACACCATCTCGGGAGGAGGACTAGTAGGAGGTGGAGAATCACTCTCTGCAATGAAGGCCCACGCCAAAAAGGCAAGGCACCTCGACAAGATGCGCTCATCCAAAGTGCCAAAGCAGGGCGACAACAAGGTCATATCTTTCTCAGAAAATGACCTAGAGGAAATCCGGCACCCCCATGACGACCCCCTGGTGCTCACCATGACCGTGGCCAATTTTCAGGTGCGTAGAATCCTAGTAGATAGTGGCAGTTCTGCGGATATCCTATTCGCAGAAGTTTGTGACAAGCTTAACTTGGGCAGAGAGAGACTATAGCCTATCAGATCACCCCTCATTGGGTTCTCAAGGAAAAAAGTATATCCCCTAGGGTCCATCACCCTACCTGTCACAGCAGAAGCAGCGCCCCAGAGCTCCACAGTCATGGTCAATTTCTTGGTCATAGACTGCCCATCAGCCTATAATATCATACTAGGGCAACTTGTCCTTAACACATTAAGAGCTGTGCCCTCCACCGATCACCTCATCCTCCATTTTCCAACCACCAATGGACTTGGAGAGGTCAGAGGAGACCAGGTGGCAGCGAGGGAGTGCTATGTCTCCTCCATGAAGACCAGGAAGCCACAGGAAGTGTTGCAAGTTGAGGTCCTTGATTCGAGGGATGACGCCACCATTGAGAGATGAGAACCAGTCGAAGAGCTCACCCCTACGACCTTGGATGAAGAGCACCTAGACAGAAGAGTATACATCGACTCTTCCCTTTCTGAAGACCTAGTTGGCCCGCTAATAGACTTTTTGAGATGTAACATGGGCGTCTTTGCATGGTGACATGCAGACCTTGAGGGAATTCACCCACAAGCCTGTTCGCCAAAAGCTAAGGAGCGCATCCACTGAAAGGGCCCAAGCTATGGACAAGGAGGTAGGAAAGGTAATAGATAACGGGGCCGTCAGAGAAGTAATATATCCTAAGTGGCTCTCCAACGTGGTGATGGTCACTAAAACTACCGAAAAGTGACGTTTCTGCGTCGACTTCACAGAACTCAACAAGGCGTGCCCGAAAGATAGCTACCCGCTATCACGGATCGACCTCCTCATCGATGCCACTGCAGGGCATGAGTTGCTCACTTTCTTGGATGTTGACTCTGGGTACAACCAGATTAGCATGTACCCCCTAGACTAGGATAAAATATCATTCATCACTCCGAAGGGAACCTATTGGTACAGGGTTATACCCTTCGGACTAAAGAACGCAGGAGCAACCTACCAACGGTTGGTGAACAAAATGTTCCAGTCTTAGATCGGTCGAACGGTGAAGGTGTACGTGGATGACATGCTGGTGAAAATTCTTGCAGTAATAAACCACATCGATCACTTCCAAGAAACTTTCAATGTCCTAAGGTCCTATTACATGAAGCTCAATCCTGAGAAGCGCGCCTTCGGCATGGGGTCTTGAAAATTCTTGGGCTTTATGGTCTATTAGAGGGAAATTGAGGCGAACCTCGATAAAATCAAGGTCATCCTCGACATGAAGTCACCTTCCTTGACCAAGGAGCTCCAACACCTCAATGGAAGAATCGCTACACTCAATAGGTTCATTTTCAAATCTGTAGACAAATTGTCTACCCTTCTTAAGATTCTTCAGAAGGCTTTTGAGTGGGAACCTAAGGCGGAGGAGGCCTTCCAAAGGCTCAAGGTCTACCTAGCTACACCTCCCCTCCTATCACATGCCACTCCGGGAGAAACTCTCCATCTTTATCTTTCTGTTTCCTCATCAGCAGTAAGCTCAGTACTTATCAGAAATGATAATGGAGTGCAGAAGCCAATTTATTATGTGAGCAGAGCATACCAGGGGGTAGAGATAAGATATTCGAATCTAGAAAATTGGCACTCGCCTTGATCACAACGGCGAGGCGACTACGACACTACTTTCAGAGTCACAGCATAGTGGTCGTCACAGACCAATCTCTCAAAAGAGTCTTGGAAAAGCCAGACGTATCCGGCAGACTTCTTAAATGGGCAGTGGAACTCGGGGAGTTTGACATTCAGTACTAACCAAGGGCAGTCATCAAAGCACAAGCCCTAGCAGATTTCATTGCCGAGCTCACACCAACAAAAGAGAGAAACTGCAGGGATGCCCAGATGCCTAACGGGGACACCCAGAAGCCTAGCAAAGACTCTTAGGCACCCAAGCTGGGCACCCAGGTCTCCTTCCCAGGCGCCCAGACTTCATCTCCAGGCACCCATGCAATCTCTCCAGGCGCCCAAGCTCCAACTGGCGTCCATGCCACACCAAGCGCCCAAACAGGTGCCCAGGCAGTACCCCTAGGCACCCAAACAACTCCAGGCTCCCTCAGGCGCCCAGGCTACTCCCTCTGGTACCTAGGCCGCTTCTTCTAGGGCCCAAACTGTTTCCCCTGGTGCCCAGACCACTTCCCTAGACGCCCAGTCACCTACTTTAAATTCCAAACCCTCCTTTCTTCTACTTTGGAAACTCTATGTGGATGACTTCTCGACCAGTGAAGGAGGAGGAGTTGGCCTAATCTTGATCAGCCCAGATGGCACCACTCTCAAGTATGCAGTAAAGCTCTACTTCGTTGCGTCCAACAATGAGGCGGAGTATGAAGCTCTCCTCTTTAGATTACAATTGACAGTGAAAATGGAAGCTCAACACCTCGCCACCTTCAGCAATTCTTAGCTGATAGTTAATCGAGTGAAGGGCAAGTTCGAAGCCAAATGAGCTAGGATGCAGAAATACCTTGGCATGGCGAGAAGCATGATTGTAAAGTTCCACTATTTCCAGATAAGCCACATCCCCAAAGAAGACAACATGGCCGCCGATGCACTCGTAAAGCTTGCCTTATCCGTGGAAGCCCCATCAAGAGAGCCAGCATTCATCGGTCACCAATTCGAGCCAAACAAGTTGGATATGGAGGCCACAAATGTAAATTGTACATCAGCTGAGTCAAACTGGATGACCCTAATAACAGCGTACCTCCAGGAAGGTGTGCTGCCAGATGATCCTCTAGAGGCCAGGAAGTTGAGAATGAGAGCCTCCAAGTTTGTTGTCCTGCAGGACACGTTGTACAAGAAAGGTTATTCCTTGTTGTTGTTGCAATGCCTCTCACCTGAAGAAGCTCACTATGCCTTGTGAGAGATCCACGAGAGGATCTATGGGAACCACTCTGGAGGGCGCTCCCTTGCCCACCAAGCGCTCAGACAAGACTACTTTTGGCCCTCCATGGTAAGGGATGCCTAGGAATTCTCCAAGAAGTGTGACAAGTGTCAACGCTTTGTACCTATGTCCAGTCAACCACCGGAGGAGCTAACAACCATTTCAAGTCCGTGGCCTTTCTCCAAGTGGGACATCGACATCCTAGGCCCCTTTCCTCTCAGCAAAGGACAGTGCAAGTTCGTGGTGGTGGCAATCAATTATTTCACCAAGTGGGTAGAGGCCAAACCCTTAGCTAAAATCACAGATGTGAAAGTCAAAGATTTTATCTGAAAGATTCTGGTCTGTCACTTCAGGGTTCCCCACGCTTTGAGATTAGAAGAGCTCCCATTAAATTATCCAAAGTTGAATGGAGTGTTTTCCAATGGTCATTGGGATTTTTCATTGTGTCCTGAGCTGTCTGAACAAATGGTTAGTGAGATAACTTCATGTCAGATTTCTTACTTTGATAAGCAAGATGTGAGGGTGTGGATGCCTACTTCTACAGGCAAGTTTTCAATTGAGTCAGCAAGGTCTACAGCTAGGCAACATGGGCTTTTCTCTTTCAACTGTTGCTCTTATTTGGAAGCAGCAGGTCACTCCTACAGCAAGACTTACATGATGGAAGATTTGGCAGCATGCTCTACCTTTGATTCTAATATCATGTCCATTGGTGTTGCTATTGTTAGTAGGTGTTCGATGTGTATGCGTCATGCTGAGACAGTGGACCATCTTTTTACTCAATGTCTGTATGCACAGGCTGTGTGGGCAGCGTTTTCCTCTTTAATGGGTTTTACTTTGGTGCCTGGAGAAGGACCATTAACAAGGTTCAGAAGGTTGACACAGATTTACACCAAGCAATCTATCAGTCATGGCCTTATAAGAGGCGTTTCTTTGATTATTTATTGGCAAATATGGGCTGAGAGGTGTAGGAGAGGCTGTTTGAAGGAGTAAAAATGCATTCTTCTGCTTTAGTCTTTTGGATTAAGCACATTCTATCGTATCAGAGGTATGTTATTAATCCAAAGGTTACTGAATCTATTCAAGGTCAGGAACTTCTTTCTTTATTGCATGTAAAGCCCTCATCAATCAGAGTTAGGGCAGTATGAGTTTCTTGGATGTATCCAGCAGATGGGGTGTTAAAATTAAACGTTGATGGATCTGCTAAAGGTTGTCCAGGGTGGTCTGGTGGTGGAGCTGTGCTGCATAATCAGAGTGGTCAGTTAATTTTAGCAGCTTCCAAGTTCTATGGAGTAGGCACGAATATGGCAGCTGAAATTCGGGGCCTTGGTGGATGGGTTGCAATTATATCATAAGTTTTGTTTGACTTGAAATATGTGAAAGAGATACTCAAACTCAAAGTAGAGTCCCGTATATATAGCCAAAAATAATACAGAGTGACTTAAACATCCTTGTAGTTTAGGCAAAATATAAAAATCATAGTAAGGGTAAAAAAGAGAAAAGAAATCCTAATAAACCTAGACTATCTATACTCCAACACTCCCCCTCAAGCTAGGCGCAAAAATGTCAACTAAGCCAAGCTTGACAACGGAGTCCCGAAGAATAGACAGAGTGACAGGTTTGGTAAAAACATCCGCAACTTGATCACTGGTCCCCACAAACGATGGAGTAACAAGACCACTGCTGACCTTCTCCCGAAGAAAGTGAACATCGATCTCTATATGCTTCGTTCTCTCATGTAGTACAGAGTCAGAAGCGAGCTGAATAGCAGATTGATTATCACAATATAATGTGGATGGAGAGGTCACTGAAAAACCCAACTCGTCAAGAATCGATCGTAGCCAGATAATCTCACATGTGCCAAGTGCCAATGCCCGATACTCTGCCTCTGCGGACGAGCGGGAGACAACTGCCTGCTTCTTGCTCTTCCAAGAGATAAGATGAGTCCCTCGAAAAGCACAGAAACCCGTAGTAGATCGACCATCACATGCTCCCCCATAATCTGAATCTGAATAACAGGCTAGAGAACCGGTCTGAGATCCTGATGCATAAAACAACCCAAGTCCAGGACAAGACTTGAGGTACCGAAGAATATGATAAACTGCATCAAGATGAGGCTGACATGGCCTATGCATGAACTGACTAACTCGGCTGACTGCGAATGAAATGTCCGGCCTAGTATTGGCTAAGTAGATAAGTCTACCTACCAATCTTTGATAAACTGTCGGATCTTTCAACTCCTCACCTTCAGCAGTAAGCTTCAGGTTTGGAATCATAGGTGATGATGCCGGTTTGCACCCCAACATCCCAGTGTCTGAAAGAAGATCCAAAACATACTTTCTCTGAGAAAGAACAATACCTCTGCTTCTACGGGCAACCTCAATCCCAAGAAAGTATCGCAGAAATCCAAGATCCTTCACATCGAAGGCCTTCCCAAGGTCTATCTTGACCTGCGCAGTCCCAGAAACATCATCACCAGTAATAATAATATCATCAACATATACCAGAAGGATGACACACTGTCCAGAAGTATTCCGTCGAATAAAGCAGGTATGATCAGAATGACACCTGGTGAACCCCAATCGTATGACTACATCACTGAAGCGAGAGAACCAGGCTCGTGGCGACTGTTTCAGTCCATAAAGAGACTTACGCAGTCGACATACCTTTCCAGCATACTCCCCCTCACCACGAAAGCCCGGTGGTGCATCCATATAAATAATCTCGTCCAGATCACCGTGAAGAAACGCATTCTTCACATCTAATTGATGAAGAGGCCAAGAGTACTCCGCAGCCAGAGAAATAATTAACCGAACAGTAGTCAATTTTGCCACGGGGGCAAATGTAGCACCAAAGTCACGACCTGGTACCTGAGTAAAGCCCTTCGCCACAAGTCTAGCCTTGTAACGATCAATAGTACCATCTGCCAGAAACTTCAGGGTGTAAACCCAGCGACAGCCAACAGGCTTCACCCCTGAAGGTAAGGAGACAAGATCCCATGTATGATTACGCTGAAGAGCGTCCATCTCTGTCTGCATGGCAAGAACCCACTGGGGCTCCCGCATAGCTTCCGAAATAGAGCGAGGAACCAGCGTATCTGATAAGGCCATAGTATAAGCTCGAAATGTGGGAGACAGATTACCATAAGAAACATAAGCAGAGATCGGATATAAAATCTTGGCGGTCCAACCATATCGATCAACTGGACGGCGATCACGCCTTGGATAACGACGCCCTAAATCACCATCCTCTACTGATAATATCTTATCAGGTAAAGTAACTGGCTCAGCACCTGTAATCTCATCAGTACTAACAACAGGTGCATCAATATGCTCAACAAACTGAGAAGTATTACCTGCATCGCCTGAGGTAGAGGGGATATCAGCAGGGTGATGAGAGCGAGGACAACGAGCATACACCTGCAAAGGAAGAGAGACTGGTAACTCTGTACTGACAGGGATGAGTGACTCCTTGGGAGGAAAAACGGATGACCCTGTAGGGATAGTGATCAATGACTCTGACTCTTGTGGTAATGGAAAATCAAAGGGAGTATCATCAACTGGAGGGGCAGACAAAGGACTGAAAGGAAAATAAGGAATATGCTCAAGAAAGGTAACATCTAGACTGTGATACATACGACGCCTAATAGGATCATAACATCGATACCCCTTAGATTGATGACAATAGCCCACAAAGATACAACGAATCGCTTTATCATCAAGTTTATGACGAGTAGGAGACCGATCCTGAACAAAACATGTGCATCCAAAAACACGAGGGGGGACCGGAAAAAGTGTCCGCTCAGGAAATAAGACCTGTAAGGGAGCCTTATGCTGAAGAACACGACTCGGCGTACGATTGCACAGAAAGGTAGAAGTCAAAACAGCAAAATGCCAATAAGATTTTGGTACCCTCATGCCTCTAAGCAGACAACGTACCATCCCTATCAAACTCCTATTTTTCCTCTCAGCAACACCATTTTGCTCAGGAGTATATGGACAAGTGAGTTGCTGAAGGATACCCTGAGAAGAAAGGTGAGACACTAAAGCATCAGACACATATTCTTTGGCATTATCCGAACGAAGAGCACGAACAATGACATCGAATTGTGTCTTAATCATCTGTAAAAACTGAGTGATTATAGGGAGCACATCAGACTTCCTATGCAAAAGGTAGACCCAAGTACAACGGGTATGATCATCTATAAATGTCACATAATATCTGGCACCTGACAGAGCAGTAACGGGAGAGGGTCCCCAAATATCAGAGTGTATTAGGTCAAATGGCTTGGGTGACTGGTGCATGCGAGGAATATAATTGGCCCTAACATGTTTTGATAGGGAACAGATAACGCAATCAAGTTTACCACCAACACAAGCATTACTCAAAGCAGGAAACAACATACATAAATATTTAAAATTTGTATGTCCAAAACGGTCATGCCACAATTGAACAGTTTGTGACGAAAAATCATAACGACAACTACTAGGTAAAATACTAGCATGCAAGCTAGGAACAGAAAAAGATAGAGCAGGTGCAGGTGAAGGAATTGGTGAAACTGGAGATGGATTGCCAAGATAATACAGTCCATCTCTTTCATGTCCCTTGATAATAATCCTCCTGGTACTCAGGTCCTGCAAATAACACGAATCAGATAAGAATACAACCGCACAGTGAAAATCTCTGGCTAACTGATGTACAGATAATAGATTCATGGCCAACTTTGGCGCATGAAAAACCGAATGTAATGTAAGGCCATCTGGGAGACGGACTGTACCCCTACTAACAATAGGGGCATGTGTTCCATCTGCTAACTGAACCTGTGTATGTAACGGCTCGTCAAAAGTGGTGAAGTGATGGGCCTCACCTGTCATGTGACCATTCGCACCCGAGTCCAACATCCAAAGGGGAGATGAACTGGCACAAGCGTGAAAGGCACGAGATATACCTGTAGTGGTGACAGCAGCAGTAGTCAGACTCTGAGAAGTCAGAGCAGACATAAGTATATCTAATCGGGAAGTGATAGCATCCATATCACTTTGCCAAGGAGGAGCAGTAGCAGGAGTGGCGGTAGTGGGCGGTGGTACCTCAGCAATAGCAACAGTACGGCTGCGAGAAGGTGGCTTAAGCTCTGGATGGAGCTTCCAGCAAGTAGCCCTGAGATGTCCTGGTCGGCCACAATAATCACATTGACGGGAATCCCCCCGTCTGCGCTGATCTGGGGCGCCCTGACGGCGCTGGTCTGAGCGTTGCCCATCCCTGACTAAGGATCCTGAACGGGACCCTACAGCAGCTGCAAGGGCCATCTGGTCAATCGAAGGAGTCAAAGCTGCAACTGGAAGTGATGCAATACGGACTCGACGCTCATGCTGCTCAATCATCCCATACACCTCATAAAGAGAAGGAAGTGTCAACATCGACAAGATCTGAGAACGAGGTCCCTCAAACTCATCACGAAGCCCCATAAGGAACTTGTGAATCCTATCCTCCTGCTCTCGAGTATGCAAGAATGCTGCTCCCTCGGGCTCTATCTTCGGAATAGCAGCAAGAGGACGTAGAGACTCATACTCAAGCCAGCGCTGGGTCAAATAGCCATAATAATCCTGAACGGTCATATCTCCCTGCCGAGCATATGAGAGCTCCTGAGAAAGCTCATAAACACGAACTCCCCGTCCTGACTGAGAATACATCTCTGATAATGCGCTCCATAGCTTCGGAACAGAGCTATGAAACTGGTGGATCCTGCAAACAGAGGGCTCCATTGAGCCAAATAACCATCTAAGAATGGCACAGTTTTCAGAGAACCACGCAGAATATCCAGGGTCGGTATCAGCTGACTTTGGGTGAGATCCAGTCAGCCAACCAAGCTTCCCTACACGGCCTAAGAAAAGCTGGAATGAGCGTGACCACTCAGCGAAGTTACGACCATTCAACAATTGTGCCGTAACTTTTTGAGAGATCATGCCCGGTAATGCTGGTAATGCAACTGTGCTAGTAGGCACTGTATACTGG